CAACGTCGTTGCCAAGCGACGAAAACCCAACCCCGATGGCAAACACCGGGGAGGGGGGGAGGGGGGGTGGTTCCACCATAAAGCGGGAGGGCATCTAGTGTGGTCATTTTCAGGAATCTTGCACAGATGCCATTCCTGTCTCCACGAAGCTCGTGGATACCCCATGGATCTTGGACATGGGACCTACCCGCTTGTTGCCTGCCGCCCGCCTGGACGCGCTCGCGCCTTGGGTCGCGCGAGTCACCACCCCTTCCTTCCAGAACGGGGTGAAGAGAAACAAACTCTCTCTTTCGTGATGTTTTTTTCCCGTTTTCACTTCGCTCCCACTTTACTCACGCTCCTGGCCGCCGCCCGCCACCCCGCCTCACCCCCCCCCACCCGTCCCCTTTCAACCACATCTGGTTTTTCGTTCTTGCCACTCGTGTCTGGCTGGCACATGGACGGATGCCACAGGGTGGGGGAAATCGGGCCTGGCGCCTTCATGATCCTCGAGCATCTGGCGCTCGTTCCCTTCGGCCCCATGCGTCCCGGAAACCAGGCCGCGCTTGGGAACAGCTTGGCGGACCTGCACCTGAGCAAGGTGTGGTACGGTACGGCATGGTACGGTACGATACAGCACGATACGATGCGGTACGGTGACGATGCGGTACGGTACGGTACGATACGATGCGATGCGATGCGATACGGTGCGGTGCGGTGCGGTGCGGTACGGTAACGATACGGCGAAGTACGGTACGGTGCAGTGCTTCCCAACCCGTAGTACGAAGGATGAAAAAATCTGAGCGTTCTGGAGTTCCACGGTTTAACCTAGCCTCGAGGGGGAATCACCATTGGGCTGCTGCTGCTGGTGGTGATGTGGGAGTAAAGTGTTGACCTTAATGGGGTACGTTGTGTTGTGGTTTGGAGAACGGGACTTGGAGGAAGGGGACCCTCGTTAGGGGAGAGAGCACGCTGGAGGGAGGCGGACGCGTCGCGGCCAAGCAGCGTGCGGTGTCGCTCCCTCCCCTTACCAAGCTGCTTCATTTCGAACCACTTCTTGTGTCTCTTATCTCGGCGGCCCTACTTGTACTCGCTTTGCTGCTGAAACTGCTGGCGCCGTTTTCACACGCCATATCGCACCGATGCACCCCACGCCACAGGAGCACGACGCGTTGCACCAGGGGAGGTTCGGGTTCCCGGTGTCGAATTTCCTGGCGCTGACGCCCCTGAACAACGCGTGGTGCGACACGTGGACGGAATTCTTCAAGAGGCGCATGTCGGACCAGATCGAGGGCTTGCTCAAGGTACGGTGATAAAAGAACGTTATTGTAGGTGCGAATCTGGTTGGGCATCATGCGTTTTTGAGAATTTTCAGTCTGTCAATGTTGAGACTTTCAGGCTCAATGTTGAGGTTTATCCATGGCCGCTGCTGAGAGCCGAGCCACGTGCCAACGTGGCTACCTGAGGCGTTTGTAGGCCTTGCCCGAACCCGAATCGCAACCCTGCCTGGGGACTCGAACAAAGGCATATACGAGTGACGACTTTTTTTCGCAAGCACCGGCGAAATAGTGGGCTCGATCTTGACCGCCAACCCCCAACGTCAGCCCCCTTTTGCTTGTTTCCCTTGCTGCCCTGATCTGACCCTCAGGACAAGGCGTACGGCCGAGCCGCGTTGGTAGAGGGGGAGCCCGACACCGCTGACGTGTTGAAGCGATTCAGAGCGGTGGAGGAGAGGGTGGGCGACATTCTTGAGGGAGCCACCGTGACGCCTTCACTTCTACACGGGGACCTGTGGATAGGTATTTGCATACATACGACGCCTGATGTTGAGGCAGGCGTTTTCCTCGTGCCCCCTTGCTCTCCGGCACAGGAAGCATCGGCACGATCGTCGTGGTTTCTCACATGGGTGCATGGGGTACAGTAATCCGGACTCCTCTCCCTTACTTCACCCCGTCGTCGTCGTCGTCACCGTCGCAAGGATGATGACCCAGCTTCTGGTTCACCGCTGTGAAACGTAGCCTAGACCGACGAAAACCGACATACTGCTCCGTCCCGGCACCGCATTCAAGGGATGCGAGGCCAATGGTCTAACGGCATGCGTTGACATGCGTACCCCCCCCCCCCCCCCCCCCCCCCCCCCCCCCCCCCCCCCCCCCCCCCCCCCCCCCCCCCCCCCCCCCCCCCCCCCCCCCC